TGAATCAATTAGTTGAATATGAGTACAGGATTGAAATAATTCAAGATTATGCTAAATAAAGAGATTGTTATTTTGTCAAGAAGTTATATAAGGTTTTCGAGTGCCATTGCTGTTGAACTTCATTTTTCGTTTTTATTATTTTCTGATCATTACTATAGAATATATTTAAAAAACAAAAAATTTGCAATAGATTAGATCTTTTGTTTGTTGATTATGAAATGTGTATTTATGATCATTTCTATTTTTGAACAAGCAGCCTTTTTATGAAAGTACTTTTTTTGTATACCGGACATTAGAGCTCGTCGAGTTTGTCTCGAATCTAGATCCGATTGTCTATAGACGTATGAGAAATGGATGTGAATCTGCTAGGCATTGAATACAAAAAAAAAAAATCAGAAAAAAGTATCATAGTACTGTTCGACAATTTCGGACCTAACAGGCTCTACTACATGCCGAGGAGGGAGAAGATGACATTAAAAGATGCGATTTTTACCTGAACATCTTTTATGAATGATAATCAATGGACTCGAAGTCGATTTCCAGTTAACAGATATTTTTTACTCATTTCAAATGCTGTAATATAATATTCGTCAGCGATTTTATTATCGTTTTGAACTGAATAAATATCGCCGATAATACCTTGATAATGAATAATTCCATCATATGAACATGAATGTATTTGTTGAAGAATGTTCCGTGCTTTGTCACAATCATTGTTTATCGCACAAATTGCATCAATATTTAATTTTGTTCGAGCCATGTTAAATCGATCATTTTTGCATTGTAAAGTCTTTGTATAGTATTCAAGTGCTTGAGAATAATTTCCAATTGCTTTATAATAATTACCGATATTGTTTAATATTATACCGATAACTGGATGATTCAAAGGTAATTTCTTTTTTTTTATATGCCATATGACAAATGGAAATTAGTCAAAGCTTCTTTCCAATTAGTTGTTCTCATCTTTAACTCACCAATATGATCATATATTAAAGCTATATTTTTATGTGATGTTGGCAAGACTTGTAATAACATTTGAAAATATGATTCAGCTTTAGTATATTCATTCATGTCAAGTAGTGGACGATCAAACATAAGATTAATATTATCTTTATGAAAATCTCTTTTCTTTGCTTCAATTCTTTTTTTAATTTCATCTGTACCTTCATCAGTTGCCGTCATTTTAACTATCCAAGCACTAAGATCAGAATCATGACTAACATGTTCAATTTTGAAAATTGAACTAATATTAAATAATATCTCTCTTTCATCAATAATTTTTGTATATTTATCAATATCAACAAAAATAGTATTTTCAAGACTAGATCCATCGACAGTTATTTCAAACATAATAACCTTAAAATCATCAGTATCTACAGCATCTTGGATAAACTTTTTTGCAATATTAATATCAGTTGATGACGAGAAAAATCCATTATTTGAAACTAAACAACCAATATTAGATTTTAAGTTTTCTAATTCATATGTTCGCATGTGAGCTTGACCATGATAAAGTGTCAAACAAGTTTTTATATTTTGTTCGTTATAAACATTTTCCAATTGTGTACATAGATCAATAACATAGTAACGAAATAAATACCATAATGTTATATTTTCTGTACGAAATGCTCGATTTACTAAACGATATATAAAACTATCTCGAGTATACCAATAAATAGCTTGATTTGATGTATACGTATTACGAAAATGTTCAATCTGTTCCATTTGTTTTTTATTTCCTCTATGATAATCTTTACATTTATTTAACATAATATCTTTCGCTTGTTCTGTTTTTGGCATTTGTTTTAGTAACTCGATAAATAATATATATGTGAAATGCGCACCACTATTTTCAAAATTGTTTGATGAAGTCAACGGTCGTACAGATTTTTTTAATGTTTGATTATTAAACAAGTTAAATTTTAATGATAGTAATTCATTTTGTATGCAACTTTTCAATTTTTCATATTCAGTGCAGATATCTACAATATTTGGGTACTTATATGCTAGACTGGCATATTTGTTATAATTTCCACAAAATATAATTATTATTGAAATGTCATTGTTCATTTTTGGTAGGACGTCTTTGGCCATCGATCCTGACATCACTACTAATAGTTTTCGATGTTCCATTATCATTTTTTCTGCTTCAAATAGGAATTGATCAGGTCTATCGAAAAATAAACAATTATTATTATTGATTTCTCGAAAAAATGTTTGTGCACGTAATAAATCAAGAGAACTTTTTTGCGAGTTTTCATCCAACCAAATTAAGATAAATGGTTCGATACATTCATCATTAATAGACAAATCATGACGTGGTGGAATGTTCGATGAAATGAATGGATTACATTGAGTATGTTAATCAGCTAGTATTTTGGCATTTGAAATACCCATTTTGAAACAATCTACGAAGAGAACGGAAACATTATACACTGATTAAGAAAAACAACATCTTCTACATAGAACGATGGTAGCAGTTATCCGTATGTTTCGTCGTATTTTTTCCAATATGCTTTATGACACATAGTGTGTTAAATGGTGTGTATTTTATCATAACCTTCCTTGTCGCAATACGATGTCACAAATAACATCAAATTTTCGTTTTATGTAAGCCATATTTCATTGACAAAAATTACAAAGAAATATTTTCTGATTATTTACCTTTTTTCATCTTATATAGACCGTATTTCTTTTTTTACCTGAATAGGAAATGAAATCACTTTCTTATATGTAAAATATACCATTTATTTGCTGTCTTAGCTTGCAATCAATTTAAGCATTTATGTTAGGTACAGACAAAGAACAAGACAGAACGAAAATGAAATTGCATATAGAGAGAACAATCATATTCCATAAACTTATGTTACTTGAAACGTAAGGTGTGGATGTGGGTTTCTCTTCCCCGACAGTAACATCCACAGCCAAATTTTACTATACCCTCTCCACTAGGGTATGCATAGAAAAGACATGAGAAAAAAAAATTCTACAATAGAGAATGTTGAATGATATGGATGTGAATAATTTTATTAATATATCAAGCATAGAAAAATACTTAAATAATATTATGGACAATAATAAATAAATAAAAGAAGTGCATAGGAACATTCACTATGTATTAAGCAATGGAAGTTAATTTTTTTAAAACTTTGCGATAACTAATGAAAAATCATCTAATGTCAATGCCACACTTTCGCTTACATTACCAGTAAGTATCGGTGATTAATCGTCGACATAACGCAAATTATATCGAACGGTTTTTATTCAGTTGTAATTGTATGTGTGTATCGATACATATTTATGTCAGCATGTGTCGAGATAGAACCTATTCTCTTCGGAGACATTTGATGAAATATTTGAATACATTGATAGTGGGCGCTAGAACCCATTGGGTCCAAAATTTTTCAGACCTGGGCTCGATCCACACAGAGAAGACTAACATATACACTAGGAAAACATGATTCAGTGCCGGGTTTTGTGTTGGTTTCTATACTATTCTCTGCTAGACGATCAGCATATCTTGAAAACTCCATGCGATTTGAATGTATTTGGTCCAAGGTTGGTTTTCGAAGGTGGATATGTGCGATAATTGATTAAAATCTTCTTTATTATCTGACTATTAAAGATTTTTAATGAATTTTTGTTATGTCATTGTAAATATTTTAATAGATGTTGTGCTTGTGCATTAGGTGCAGTTGAAGAAGTTGCAATTAATATATATTATTGATAAAAAGAAAATTATGTATTATCAAAAATAGAATTATTTTCTTTTTTAAATTTTATTTATTTTCTTTTTGGTCTTAAGGTTTTATTCATTTGTTGCCATATACCACTTATTCTCAGATCACCTTTGGTAATTGGTGCACGATTAAAACTTTGTAAACCAGGTAATAAACTTAAAACATAAAGTCGAAGATAAGGTACATCATCCTCAATTGGATTAAGATATAATGTTAAATGTGTAAGTTCTTTTAATGAAACTAATTTTTCAATATCTTTTAGATTGCCAAGAAGATTTTTATGAAAATAAAAATGTTTAAGCGATGAAAATTGTGTAATAGCCTTAAAAAAAGTAATTTAATATATTCATTAAGAATAACAATTTCTTACAATTGGAATTTCTGTGAATAAATTAAATGATAAATCTAATATTGAAAAAGCATTTGGATTTATAAATATCATTTGTACAAAATTAGGTAATGTATCCAAAGAACCTTTTAAATTATTATGATTGAAATTAATTCCATATGAATGATATCGATAGCCTTCCTTAATGACATTGGGTGCATCGGGTGCTAAACGTGGTCCAGTCGAAACAGCTTCTATAAATATCAACCAAGTAAGTATTTAAAAAAAAAAAAAACTAAGTCAATTTAAACCTTCAATTTGATGTGCTCCATGAAATGAATAATCAAGAAGAGGATAATATTCTATTGAATCATTGATAGGTTTTTGTACATTTGATAAAGACTGTTTTAAACTTAATGCAGACTTCATATTTTAATCAATGATAGTTTATCCTGTTTATCCATTGTAAGAAGTTGCTAAGCAATGACACACTTGTGCATTACAGCATATATAGAACGAAGGTTGCTGTTCAGCGATCGAGCATTAAATTCACCAATTATGACCGAACAAAGATATAAGCATGCATGTCTATAAAAAATAATAAACAAAAATATATTTATATTTATACATAGTTTTCTTTTGTTCATTCATATTGATATATAAAATCAATCAATGACTGCAACAACTCCTATAAAATCCGAATCAGTTGATATGTAAGAAGGATAATTAAAATTTCTTATCTATTCACGGATCTTTTGTTTTCTAGAAAGTGCTAAAATGCAATTTTGTATGCAAATGGTCAATGGAAAACCACAAATGTATTTTGATGATAAATATTTTTAGATGAATCATCAATGAAAACAAAAACTAAATCTAGTAGTCAAAAATGTTTTCCACAAAATCTATCAAATAAAATAAACGAACACAAAACATAAAGTAACTTTTAGTGAAGGTGGTAAAACAGCAAGTATGTTAATGAGTCAGTTCATAGCAGCCATGATAGTGTAGGTGTGAGTCTAGCTCTGGGTGTGATTATTGGTGAAATTTTCGATTTGATGAGATTTTCTCAAATGATAATTTATCGAATTTAAATCTCAACTTTTTAATTGTTCGCCTTTCATCGTGATCAAAGAAAATTGTTTTTTTTCAGCTATTTTGATGTCAGCGAAAAAAGTCGTTCTTACCGAGTTCCCTACACTTATAAAGCCTTTGGAAAAAAGATTTGTCCTTGAAAACTTGTCCACTGAATTCGTCTCTACCGGGTGACATCTTTTTCTAAAAAGAAAAAAATTTGTTTTCATGCGTTCGAGACTTCAAAATATGTCTGACTTTGAACCCACTAGACAATGAAAAAATAGAGTTTTCAAGAAAGATTGAGTTATACAATCTAGGATTATTAGTTTTCAATGAAACTTTGTGTATATAAGTGAGTATCTATTCACCCTCGAAAATTGCTCCGATCCGAAACCATATCATTGGATAGTTTTCTTTTTTTTGAATTGAAATAATGTTTTACGTCAAAGCAATGATGAGTCAATTGGATATTCTTATCAGTTGAGTTCGATCGGAACGAGCACAACACAATGATAATAAAGTTGATGAACTTCTTTGATTGAATGATTAATATGTTCATTGTCAATTATTGATTGGTTGTCTCTTTCAAATCAAAGAAAGCTCAACGGATCTCAATAAATTCATTCATTTGTGTGAAAAAAAATAGAAAGAAAATCGATCAAAATTATGCGTTATTCATGAATTTCAGTAAAATTATACAAGTGTCGGTGCTTTACAAGATAATCACTAGGTTTTTCAAATGTAAGACAAAGCTGTTCATTTTTAAAATATCGAAATTATTTTCTTGTATCGTTTCTTTATTCATGATATTTACAATCGGTACTGATCGTCAAGTCGAAGGAATAAATCCATTTACAAATAACAATTCATTCAATTCTTGTCCTAATCAACCAGAAGTTTTAGTAATAATTGGATCTTGCCATCAATAATACTAATTATCGTCTACGATTCGGTCCGAATCTTCTATTAAGGTTAGTGTATCATCTGATGGTGATAACGATGGTGGTTGGTTTTGATTGATTTTGCTGTTAATAGGTACTGTTGGATCAATGTTGTTTGATTATCGCATGTTGTAAACGATGTTAAAGTTTCTACGCGTATGATCTGCATGTAAACGAAATGATATATTTCCAGTTCTTGAAGAGCAGATGATATTTGTTCTTTCATTTCAAGATTTGAATCTGAAATAAGGTTTACCATTAGAAGTAATACATTTTGTAAAATTTGTGTGATTGTTGAATTGATTGCCC